CTGACCAAGGTAAAATACAAGATTCGGGTAAGTCTGTTACGATTATGTTAAGAAAGCTGGTGATATAATTACCAGTGACATTGTTATGTCAGGAAAAAATACGCATCATGGAAACCCAGTCGCAAATACAGACGCAGCAACAAAATAAATACGTCGATGATCAAGAATCCAAGTACGTATTAGTGAGCGTTGGTATCATGCGCTCATTTCTCAATATGAACAATAATGGTATTCGTAATCTCAGAGCACCAAAAACAAATTTCGACGCTGCAACTAAAAGATACGTCGACGATAAGGAAATTCCAATAACGACTTTATTAACGACAATCAAAGATGGAATTGTCGCATTTAAAACTGATTACAATAATAACGTACCAACGTTTCTATATTTTCGTAGAAATTAAAAAGAACTATTAATGATTTTTTGGAAGTCCACCTATATCGTCTGAAGTTATATTATCGCTATGGTTGAGTTTCTCTAATTTACAGTCAATATAATTCAATTTTTTAATATTTATATTTCGCCAGAAATTCATTAGTTTTCTTTTCGTATCCTACAATCTAACAGGTCTGTTTTCTATGATAGAGTTTTCTATGATAGAAAAATCAAGTACATATAGTTGATTAATTGAAATTCATATGATAAAACACAGTGAATATCTAAAAACAAAGCCCTAAAATCTCGCACTTCAATTTTTTTAAACAATTTGAAGCCATTTAAACTCAGTAGTAGATAATCAGTTATGTCCTTGTCACCAGATGCGTATTTTCCAACTCCTCTGTCTAGACCCACCCTTCCTTTACAAATACACATTATTATTTCTACAAAAATTAAATAAATGCTTATATTACCTATTTCCATTTCTGTCCTGTGAGTATTATACCTGGGGTATACCAGACTTGTCTGGACGCTCAGTATCAGCTATGTAATTTATTGCGTCATTTTCGAGACTGGTTATTTCCACCTTGTTTGTATTTAGAGTTATTAGAAAGATACGGCATTACGTTGTCTATTTCATTATCAGATCGATCCTCGTAACCTTTGGCAAGGTACCTCTATATCAAATTGTGTCCAGTTCGGTCAAGCGTTTTAAAAAATATCTTGCTCACGGGCAATTCACTTAGTAAAAAGTATTGCCCAACGACCTTGAATAAAACGTTCAAGGTCATCAGGGGAAAAAATCTTTGGAACCTATTCAATGTATCTAATCCATTTTGGTATGGTTTGGCTAAGTGGTTTGAGATTAATGCTCTAATAGCAGTGTGACGGATGGACTTAAAACATACCACCAATAAGTCTTCTACCATTAGGTGAGACATAAATATCAGATTTGCTACATTACTCACACTTTGCGGACAATCATACTTTCGAAAGACGAAAGAGCTATGGTTATCTGATAAAAACCGTAAATATTTCTAACGATTTATTCACAACGGAGGAAAACACTATAAACGTGCATAAGCACCATTCACTGACAACACTACATAATGCATTGATGATTTTCATTGCATGCTTGATTCTTACAAGGAATTGTAATCAGAAACGTTTCTAAATCATCTGGGTAGAAAAACGTTAATTTATTCCGATATTTACCGTGATGACTCATTAAATCAATGAAGAATCCTTGCTAATTGATTAATGCAGAGATGACGCAGATTGCCTAATGTGCAGTAACTATATTTATAGATTTTCATACTTATGACTTGACTCAATCCTGTGTACGCTAATTGATGTGCCAAATAACGCGACGTAAAGCCTGATTTAACAGGTTTTCACATTATTCTAAAGAATTTATAAAAATTAAGTCTGCAGATGGAATGATCGTTAAAGAAGACAAATAGAATACATAATACTATACATGAAAATTAACTTACAATAACGATCGTCGATTTGTATATCTAATCTATGAAATTTAAAAAATATCGACAATGAATAACATATATTTAATAGCATTTAACAAAGAAATAGAAGGTTAAACACACCAAAAGACTGCAATTGTTTCATGATTTTAACGCTTGCCTAAGATTTTATATTTTTCAAAACAGTATTCATTTATCATGTTCAATCAACTTCAAGAACTTAAATAAATTCCGTAGCATTGGAATGCTGTATATATAGTAAACTTAATTGATGCGGCAGCATGATGTTAGAAGAATCATTGAACTTCATCATTATTGTAAACATTTGCTGACATGATAACATGACATTGATGCATTGGATAGTTTTCAACATTGTGTTACACACTAGTTGAAGTAATAACATGACTTTGTTAAAATGAACGGATTTTATTTTTATGTCACACATTAACTGACGCGATGAGATGATATTGGTGGAATCGACATCCTTCATATTTATTTTTACACACTAGTTGGCACGATGACATCATGTTGGTACATTGGACGGTCTTCATCATTATTTTATGCTCTAGTTGACACAATGACATGAGGTTAGTGCATTGGACAGCCTTCATCATTATCTTACACACTAGTTGACACGATCACACGAGACAGGTGCATTGGACAACCTTCATCATTATTTTACACAATAGTTGACACGATCACACGAGACTGCTGCATTAGACAGCCTTCATTAAACACTAGTTGACACGATCACACTAGACTGGTGCATTGGACGGCCTTCCTCATTATCTTAAACACTAGTTGACACGATCACACAAGACTGCTGCATTAGACAGCCTTCATCATTATCTTACACACTAGTTGACACGATCACACGAGACTGCTGCATTGGACAGCCTTCATTAAACACTAGTTGACACGATCACACGAGACATGTTTATTGGGCGACCTTCATCATTATCTTGCACACTAGTTGACACGATCACACGAGACATGTTCATTGGACGACCCCTTTTCATTATCTTACACACTAGTTGACACGATCACATGATATTGGTGAAATGGGCAATCTTCATCACTATGGTACACACTAGTCCACACAATGAGATATAATTGGAATACTGAAAGACTCTCATCACTATCTTACACACTAGTGGACATGATGGCATGATATTGGTGAAATAGACGGCCTTCGTCATTATCGGACACACTAGTTCACACGATGACATAATATTGGTTAAATGGACGGCTTTCACCATTATGGTACACACTAGTAAACACGATGATACTAGATTGGTATACTGAAAGACTTTCAGCACTATGTTGCACACTAGTTGACACGATGACATGATACTGGTAGAATGAAATGATTTCATCATCGATTAACGTGGGTAAGTGAGAAAGCCTGCCAGTAGTTTCTCGTGGTCGGTGGTTCTTATCTGGGTTTTCCAGGGTTCTTCCTCCACCATTAATACTGTCCGCCATGTATAGCCTATCTCGTGCTAAAAAAATGGCGTTAAACTCAACAACAACAACAACAACAACAACAACAACAACAACAATCATCGATTATAATTAATATTTGTGAATTACTAATTCGGCATTCAATATGAAGGCAAAACAACACGGTTATGACAGACTGCAAAATATAACAAAAATCTCCAACTATTCATCACAAATTCAAAAGTGAAATTTTACTTTATCGTTGACATTTTTATTTTGTCCCAGAGAGACTGGTGGTGAATATGGATATTAGCGATAGATGCAGTAACAATTGAAAAACATAAAAAGGTAATAACGACATGTATTCCAATGGTTAATAAATAAACACGTTAACGTTTCCAACAACAATACGAAAATATATAATATAGCACTAAAAGGAAGACAAAATAAGTTATGTAGGAAAGGTTTTATCAGGAAAATGATATAAATTCGAAATACTTGGCATCGCGCAATGATGTTCCTACTGTTAAATCTGCTAATGTGACTCTAAACTCGGACGTTCAAATGACACATGCCAATCGTGAAGTTGTAGAACAAAAACCTTAAGCGAGCGTCTGTTCAAAATGTGGAATCCCGAAAAACAATATCAACAATGATGTAAATATGTGCTCACCTAATGAAGATGTCAGGAGCCACTGTGGCTTTTTTTAAGAAATAAATTACGAACCTTATACTATTCTATCACGTTGAAGCAAAAATGAAAAAAAAAACACCTCAATAATGCCAAACCAATGAATGGAAACAAGTTGTTCACTACGCCTATGTAATCATCTTATCACAGAATTAATCATTCAGGGATTGTTGCTGCTTCAGTTTAGGCTACACCAAGCTAATATTTAGCTAAAATTTTGAAGCCTCTAGAAAGAGGACATCCTCGGACTAACCTTGATATAGGGGAGGAAACCTTTTAATGGATGCATCGATATACTTTTACCTCTATCTACATACGGATGTGTAAGAAAACCAATTTCTTGCGAAATTAGCGAAAACATACCTATCCAAGGTAGATGTTTGACCTGCATGATAACTTTGGAGAGACAAACATAAAGTATAAAGATTTCAAAAGGGTATAGCCCCATTTCCACATATTTAATATTTGATGTCATCTTGTGTTACATAGATTACGAATATCAATATGAATAAAACTCACTAGAATTAGATCGCCTTATTAAATTCGCAAGCGTAGCTCCCGTCTATACCTTTTTTTGTAAATGCGTGCTCAACTTCAGTTCTAGGAAAATATTTTGACTAGTGATAGCACCGAATTTGTACCTTTCTAGTAAGATTTACATGTCGAGTGTGCATTTATTATTCAACATGTTTAGTACAGTCTTAAGGTGTCACCTCATATGTGTGTGTGTGTGTTTGTGTGTGTGTGTGTGTGAGTATGTGTGTGTGTTAGATTTTTATTAGATTTTTAAAGTAGCTTTAACAATTTTTCAGTTAAATCGCTACGATGTCTGTTTTATGGCAGTTTATAGTGATGTATAGCACTGGGACATCGTGTGGAAGACATATGTCATCGTATCCCACCCAGTCACATCATCCTGACAACAGCCTGACAAGTCCTAGCACTAACATCTTAATGCTGAGTGCTTAGCGAGGCAGCTGTTAATACCATTTTTATTAGTATTTGGTATTACTTGGCCGGAGTTCAAACCCGCGACCACCCACATCCTAGGCGGACGCTCTAACCACTAGGCCATCGGATCGGTAACACACACACACACACACACACACACACACACACAAATCGTATCTGATTACCTGAATGAAGTGGCGGGTGCCTAGGAGATTTTTAGGCATCGTAGGTAAATCGTATAGTTTGATTTGCAGTAATAGTGGCATCCTCAAGTTTAAGACATTTTATAATGTATATCAATTGTTCAAATGTTTTTATCTTTCAGAATACCTATGTATCGTTTCCAGATTATCGCGAAATTGATAGATCATTAAGAAACCTAGGAATTCGTATAATATTGTAAGTAATGTTTATTCTTTCACATTCTTTGATTTTATATTTTAGGAAAATAAATTTATATCTGAAAACTTAATGCTTGTTTAGTTTTTTCTTGTCTTGTTACATTAAGCTTCTAAGACATAACACTATACTGTGTTAAACCTTTGACAATGAATGTAGAATGTAACGGTCATCTTTAAGCAACCCATTACATAGTTAACATTTATCCATGATTGTGGATTATATTTAAAGATAATGTAAATATCATGACCTGACCTTTTGACCTTAAGTTCTAGAAGGCACACATGCTTTTTATCTTGTTTGTAAGTTGTAAATAAGTAGTTTTTTGATATCTGAATTCAAATGCTAGCCTTAGGATGTTCTACAAGAGAATCTGTTTACGTATTTGATGGGGTAATGACCCACATCCAAGTCCTTTTTATTGTGTCGTATGTTTTTGCATAATTTTTTTTAAGTAAACATTAATTTGAGAAGAATCATTTATTTAAAAACTATTTATTTGAACTACAAAGTCCTCATTGACATTTATGACTAATATTTATTTTGCGATTATTCTGATCTGAATTCATTCGAGGACATTCTGGATTATCTCACTTTGATACATCAAGACGATTGGCACATTATTAATCCATAACTAATGGCGTATCAACACATTCAATACTGGAATTCATTCAGAACATTCAATACTCTTGTACTTTTGACAGAACATTTTGTAATTTTCTTTTATTTTATTCACAATACTGAAGATTTCTTTAAAATATTTACTTTGTTTTCGAGAGAAATAAATCATTTGTGAAATTTGTACTAAACTTGTTGGTTTTGCTCTTTCAGCTACTTAGTTTAAGACCATAGATTTGGAACACTAGTTATCTGCGTACTTCCTGCACTCACATAGGTTATAACTCTGCGTATTGGTACATTTTGATATGCCTCTTTCCACAGAGTTTGTTGAGTAACTTAGCGTATTTGTACATTTTGAGTTTAACTCAATGTTTTGATACATTTTGATCTACCTATTTTTTCCAGTTTGTTTAGTGACCCTAGCGCATTGGTATATTTTGATCTGCCTCTTTGGCCAGAGTTTGTCAAGTTACCTGTCATTTGATTATATATTTGCAACTTAAACTGACCAGTCATACAAAAGATGAGAAACTGCGTTACCGTAACAGCTGGTATAGTGATATATTGTTCCAATGGTAAAATGAGTATTTCAAGGTGGTATGCTGATATATTGTTCCAATAGTAAAATCAGTAATTCAAGGTGGTATGCTGATACATTATTCCAATGGTAAAATCAGTAATTCAAGGTGGTATGCTGATATATTGTTCCAATGGTAAAATCAGTAATTCAAGGTGGTATGCTGATATATTGTTCCAATAGTAAAATCAGTAATTCAAGATGGTATGCTGATATATTGTTCCAATGGTAAAATCAGTCATTCAAGGTGGTATGCTGATATATTGTTCCAATGGTAAAATCAGTAATTCAAGGTGGTATACTGATATATTGTTCCAATGGTAAAATCAGTAATTCAAGGTGGTATGCTGATATATTGTTCCAATGGTAAAATTAGTCATTCAAGGTGGTATGCTGATATATTGTTCCAATGGTAAAATCAAAAATTCAGCATGATTTTTAATCAGATAAATAGTTCTTAACATAACGAACTTGATTTGCGGCTGTATGAACGTATTTCATATTTCAAAATGTATACATATCTAAAAAAAGACAATGCAAGGTAAAGGCCGACCTGTGCAATAGTGTCGTGTTATGGTATCGGTTAGGGTGTTGTTGTTGGGCTTAACGCCATTTTTCAGCACATGATATGCTATACATGGCGGCCAGTATTAATGGTGGAGGAAGAAACCGGGAAATCCGCGGAAAGAACCACCGACCCACGAGAAGCTATTGGCAAGCTTTCTCACATATCCACATTCGCCGAATCTTAGACTCGAACTCAAGCAGACAGAGGTGAGATGGCAGTGATCCGTAACTTAGAGCTCTTTAGACCACTCGGCGCCCCTTTCAGTTAGGCTGTAAGAATGCTGAAGGTAGTACAGTTCGCCAACAACATCATGCAAAATGTGTTATTTAAAAGTTTAAGATAAGGCCGAAAGCTTCTCGATGCACCAGTATCATGTTATGATGTCAGTTAGGGTGAAAGATATGCTGAAAGTAATCCATTTCCTTCATATCATGTCATTGTGTAATATCCCGTCACTGTGTCATATCATGTCACTGTGTAATCATGTCAATGTGTAACATCATGTCACTGTGTCATTGTGTAATATGTCACTGTGTCATTTACTATGCAAGTTAATGCTGAAGGCCATCCAATGCACAAATGGCATGTTATCCTGTCAATTAGGACGGAAGATTGTGCACCAGTATGGTGTTTTGATGGTGTAAATTATGGTGTTAAATCATCTGTAGATTTCAAAATATCTTAATTTATTGAACCTCTTTAAAACGTTTATTGAACATTGTCAAGTGATATTTGAGTTGAAATAAAAAGGATCGCAGGCTATGTCACGTAAAATGGACGTATTTTGGTATGTTTACTCGTCTATTGTTGTAAATTGTTATCAAACATGCACTTTATTCAATTTGTTTTAATTTCATTCATTAGATTGTCTTTACACATTGATTGTTATGGTCTACAGTCAAGCATTGTTTTCCATCAGGCGGATCCCGTCGTCAAACTAATTCGCTTGATGAAAAGACCCATTTCATTCGACTTCACCATATGTGCACTTGAGGTTTGCAAAAAGCTTCGTGCACGACTGAATGACGTCAGTTGCGTGCTAACCTAATAGACAGAATTATTAAACATTAGTTAGTTTGCTTCATCTCTCAGCACACACAGTAGTAGACAAGGATACTTCCTTAATTTAATGAGGCGTCCTGTGGTCGATGTTACGGAAAATGAACTTTTCTAGTCAGCCACTCGAGTACATTTTCAGAACAAAAAATATTTTAATTACCGTACACCACGCACATGATGGAACCTGTTTATAAATTAGCCGTCGCTGTCAATAAATGGGGGTACGTCTGTTTATTAGGTTTTTTTTAAATCTGTTTTGTTGAAGAAAATGCTTGATATTTGTACGATTTCTGAGAGATCAAGAATTATTTGCAACAGCTGATTGTTATTAAAATTATATTATGTATTGCATCACGTGATGTAAAGACAGGAAACCGATTATTTTATACTAGTCTTATGGATGAAGATACTGGTTTTGTGCAACTTTTCAAGGTCACGGGATCACATTCTCTATGCAGTGGGAGTTTATGCATTGTGGATAGGGGAGGAATACCTACATATGTGTAACTCAAGGGAGGCCTTCATATTGTGTAATCAAGGGAAAATTCGTAGCGTGTAAGCAAGAGAGGCCCACGAGACGTTAAGCAATAGAGTTCTAGGTAATGTGTAATCACGAAAGGGCTGCAAAGAATATGGAGGCCTACGTAGGGTGTAATCACATGAGGCCTACGTAGATTATGATTACAGTAAGTGAGGCTAAGTAGCTTGTAATCAAAAAGAGGCCTTCATCTTGTGTAATCAACGGAGGCCTACCTAGCGTGTAATCAATCGATGTTTCCATACATTTTAAGAAAAGCATGTCCTATCAGAATTTGACTCTAAATGACAACATTCTAACTCCTTTCTGTTGTAGCCCTGATATCCTTCATTTTATGTATAAATTGAGTACAGTTTTCAGTGGTCCTTTCTTTCGTCCGTATTCAGATATAACCGAGACTTCTATCGCTTCTCGTAGTAATATTACCAATATTGAAAGACGACGCAATTTGTCATCCGTAATTGTTTCAAAACATTTTCAGCTAGATTGAACATTATCTTATTTGCACAAACGATAAACTAGTTATGTTATAAATCTGTTTAAGGCCACCGAAACAAACAAAAAAAACAGGTTCGTCTCAGTGTGTTTTAGAGATATCTAAACAACATAATGGCTTCATCTTCAAGACTTTTGGTGGAAGGATAGTATTAGTTGTCAAAATGTATGTTAATCAGATAACTCAAATTATTCTGATGGATAGATCTAAAGACTATATCTCTGTTTGTTATAAGTTTTATTGTCTAGTATTGTAATAAACCTAGAGTGTGTTCTATTTGTATTTACGTCTTTAATTATAGCTTTTTTAGATTAGATGTATTGATTTTGGAGGAGGCGGTTTTGGGAAGTATTTCTCTGCCCCAAGTTAATAGCCAATTTCACGGTCCAGGCGTCATAATGAATAGCATTCACTCGACATTATGACAGCATACATATAATAGAACTCCCATAATATCATAACATAGGCAATTATCTGGATAATTTAGGTAGACGTGTTTAGCAATTTGAGATATAATTCTATCTATTATTTGTTTGTTTTTTTTGGGGGGGGGTGTATTGAATTGAGTGAAGTATCATAAATATAAATATAAAAATAAATATAAATAAGAAACATAAAAAGAAATATGCAGGTAAGAAATTAGAATTTCGTGATGTGTGGTCATTAGGTGATTGGAGTACATTTTTTAGTATTCGCGCATTTACGTACCTCAACTGCTGTCTTGGCGCCTATGGAAATAGACAAAATCACCTGACATCAAACCACGCTCACTCAGTATTTTTTCACGCGGCAGAGAGACTCATTGCATGTCGCAGTACCAAAGAGTCTGACTTTCCGTAAAGGTTACCCATCCCCAACGGTTCCGCCCTCTCTTAACA